CTTCTTTTAATATTTCCTGGATCATTTAATATTCTGCCTAAAGCATCCTTGATTATAGCAACTCTAGGTTTGAATTTGTTCTTCAGTTCCTTGAGATTAAGAAATGCTGAATGAGTTTGGCCCTTTTGATTTTCCGACTCTAGCTCCTCGCACATTTCATTATTATCTTTTTCTTTGTCATTCCATTATGTTATTATGGTACCTTAATAGATATTTTTAAATGGTCATATTTTTTTTTCTTTCTTGCTCCCATATTTACAGTAAGTAGAGAACTTTGATTAGAGAACCTGACTTCTAAATTGAAGACAAGTATTGAAAGTATTCAAGTTGTAGGAACCCAAAGCTTCAATGACTTCTCTATTGGTTAGTAGTAAGATGGGTAAAAGGAATGTCAACCAGCTGTTGTGTGTTCAGATACTGTGTTTCAAAGGAGTTAGAATATATGAAATTGAGTCGGGGGGAGTCTCCTCTAATCTTGTACAATTATTACACAAATGCAAAGAGGTAGCCAAATATAATCAATGATCAAGCTTTAAGCCCTTATGTGGCATAAATGCAGAACTTTATTGGACATTTCATTTTGACTTAAATAATTTCTGCTTGTCCCTGAATAATAATACTGCTTTGAGCTGTTTAATAGCAACCTTCTGTTGACTAACCTCAACTGGACCACTTTTCTATTACTGCTGAGTTGGTATCAGTGCTTGAGTTTGCACTGACTAGATGGGCATTTTCTTGAGACAATTTAAAATGAAAGAAGTTTTCTAATGTTAACTCTGTTGAAAAGCCTAAGATTTGTTATCAAAAGATCCAAATTGAACTTTAAAATGGAAGTAAGCAAGTCAGGCAAGCATCTCCTTCTTGCAGTAAAACTGTATTCTCATGAAAAATAAAGGTTGTGTCTGAAACCTTTCCATTTAGCAGGTTGATATACATCATAAATTACTTTGGGTTTTTAGTTGCCAATAATTATGGAAAACATTGGAATTGCACCAACATTCTTGAGCTTCTGGGAAAATAAAAGCTTGAACATTTGGGGATTTTCCCAGCAATATTAATTAAGGGAAGGCTAACAGCAAAATAGTCTGAGTGAGTTGCAGACATCTTGCAGAAATGAACTCATAATAATTGGAAAGTGCCAGGAAGAACTTGTGAACTATTAAGAACAGTTAGAAACTTGGCTTGGTGGTGTCACTAACTTCCATCTGTGTGTTCTTCACATGCCCTTTTAGTGTGAATTCGTGCCAGCAAGTCAGTGGTTATACTGTGCTCAAGATGAATTTTAGGCATTCTGTCCCACTCAGTCAGTTAGTTACAAAAGAAAGAGGCAGGAGCTTTAATGATAATGACAGTGATAGTACAGCTGGGTCCTTTTGGACTTAACAGGGTAAAAGGAATTTTCCTGAGTTACCTGTTACCTGGCCCATTGGCTTCTAACCTCCACTCACTTATGATTTTTTTTATTTTATTATTTTCTTTAATTACTTTATGTGTACCGTCAAACTGGATCTGACTGGTACAGGAGATTGCCCCTCCTTCTCCAGCAAATCGTCTGGTGGACTTGAACCGCATACCTCTGGGATTGTAGTCCATCACATGAATTTTATGTAGCTAAGGCTGACATCCCAATTCTGTCTCTCTCTTCCTCCCTGCTCCCAGTTTAGACTATTTATCAGTATTTCTAATATCTGGCATGAATCCTCAGGATATTTAGATCTTATTCTTGGAAAGGAGTCCTAAAAGACAGGCTTTAGAGAATAATAGTTTTCTTGTATCACTATGGACATTATTTCCTAAAATTTTGAGCTTCCAAGAGCAGGAAGTGTAACAAAAAGCTAAAATTCTACTAAAATATTATGTTAAAAAAAACCCTATGTTTCGTCACAATTTTCTTTTTTAGATGACATGTTTAATCATATATTATTTAGTTGAAACATTATTGATGACATGCAATATAAAATAGGTGTTGAAAGTATCATACTCTTTTATTGCAAATGTTGTTGTTGTTATGTGCGGTGGAGTCACCTGCGACTCATAGCGGCCCTGTGTAAACAGCCCTAATCCCTGCTCAGTCCTGTGCCAATCTCACTGTCTCTGACACACCCACGCCAATTACCCCAGTCAACATAAAATAATAATGAATAAAACAATGTAGGTGAATGAAAAACTTGTTCTCAAATGCTTCCTATGCTTTAGGTTATCACTTAACTCATTCCTGCCAAAGTCATATTAACCTTTTTTTTTTGCTTTTTATTAATACAATATTCGTCTCCCAACACACATATGTGTGCACATGCACACACACACACATACACACACAAAATTTTGGTTTGGTTCTGGTGGCACTATCCTTCGTATCCACCATGTGTCTAGAAAAAGGACTTTTATATTTTGTACCTTTACACTCCCAGGTATAAAACCACCAAACCAAGTTTGTTACCGTTGAGAAGATTCCTTGAGTTGCTGATTTCTGAGATTATACATCTTAAGGGAGGGAGCTTTCCCATCTTTCTCGTGAAGAGCAAATTAGAACCACTGATCCTGGGCTTAGAAACTGCATGTATTAGGTACTTCACCATCAGGGCTTCTTAAAAATCCCTATGTAGCTATGTTGTTGTTTATTGCCATCGAGTTGAGCGTGACTCATAGCGACCCTGTGAACAAAAGGTCTGAAGCCTTTTTATAATTATTGCATTTCTCAAAGTTCATAGAGTTTTCAGAAGTATGTGGTTTAGGAAGTAGATGCCACTCCTGATTCCAAATCTTTGTTTATATGTATATACATATATACACACATACATCTTAAGTTAGTATCTTTAAGAACTCAATATACAAGGAAAGGTAGAGTGTCAACAAATGATAGGAAGACTATCAACTATTAT